TCTTAGGTTGCCGAGGTTCCACGTGATCCTTACCCGTCTCTGACCACACGTCCAGCATAAACAGCCACCATCCGAAGAAGGCAGGGAGGGAGGAGACTGGGTGGGGACCCCACACACAAGACGTTGCCAGACCACCACCTGCTCTAAGTTGACCAAGCAGGATCACTATGCTGAGGTTCAATTAAGTTCATAGGGGGAGACTATTTTTTTTAAGGAATTCTTGCTATCATCTCAAATAATGTCTCACATTCTGGATTTGAATATGAACATACATGTGTTCATATTAACAGGTTTCTACTAGAGAAATGAAGACCAATAAATTACTAAGAAAATTGGGCACATTTGTGTCTATAATAATAATAATAATAATAGTTTGCACGATAGCATAGTAGCAACACTCAGAAACATTTCTTGAACTTACACTATGGTGTAAGTCTCATTAATCCTATACAAGGACACTGTGAGTCAGAAACAACTCAGCGACACACAACAATGATAACACTCCTCACTTATTGACTATCTGGTTGTCTGTCATTTCTAGTATTGACTACCAACCTGCTTTCTGGGAAAACCATAGTATTTGTGGGTTTGTTTGGCCAAATTTGAGCTTCTAAACATGCCACTGAACCTGAGCTGGGAGATACACAGTTGACTTTAGTGGATCTGTGGTGGCCTGCTTCAGCCCACCAGTGTTGTGAGCATTTTGTATATATGAACTCACTATTCCTCACAAGAGCCCTGTGAGGTAGTTATTATTACTATCCACAGTTTACACATGAATGAAGTGAGATACAGCAATATGAAGTACGTTGTCCATGAGGAAGGTAGAGAGTGAAGCCAAGATTCCATGAAGACCCTCTGGTGGTAGGTTATGTGCCCAAGATGAATCCCTAGGCATCATTCTAAACAAGTCTCACTGTTAATATCTCTTTTAAAGACGTAAACAGTAAATACTCAGTGAATTTTTCAGGAAGCTTTATTAATATTTTAAGTAAACAACGTAACAAGTTGAAAATAAAACAAAAAGGAGCAAACCAAATACAATATGAGAATTTAAAAAGTTAGTAAGCAGGTACCAATCTCGTTTTGTCCAAGGAGTTTCAAATTATAGGATCCAAAACAAATTTCAGTTTATGTATCCTAAATCTTATGAGATAATCTTGACACAGACTCTTGAATCAAGACTTGCAGGTTTGCTGTATTCTATAATTTTTTCCAGTTCACTTTTCATTTCCCATTGTAAGGATGGTTAAGGTCTTTGCGTCTCTGTTCTCCTGACTTTTTCCTTAGTAATATTACAGATAACATGAAAATTGGATTAAATGACTCCTTTCAAGCTTCAAGGGACACATTTATAGAGTCTTGAGGTTTGGTGAGGTTATATTCTATGCTCACTTTATTCATGACATTCATGACTTTATTAATGTGGGTTATGTGCTCTGTCATATTTCCAGATTAAAGACAATTCTGGTCTCCCAGGCTCTAGAACCTTTCTTCCCCCTTTGTCTTTTTGTCTGTCTTTAAATTCCTAATTGTCTTTTTTCCTTTGATATTTTTATGTTTTGTTTTGTTTTACCCATTCTTCTCCTTTTTCCTTCTGGTATCCATACCTTTCTGACTGCATCAGTCTTCTAACCGGCCCCAATTATGAAATGAACCCAAGAGGACTCTGCTCACGCCCCTGTTAGTGTAGGCTCACTATGAGTTGGAGCTCTGCAACATCTAACAGCAACAATCTAACGAGTTAGCTAGCATTTAAAATGACATGCCAAAAATATGATACTTCTGATATACTGCTAAGTGAAGAAAAGGATTTAAAACATGATGCAATTCTGTGCATCTGTACATTCATATAGCTGTTGGCATGCTATATGTTTTTAATGCTTATATTGATATACTTATATCATTAATTTGTTTTATTGACCATTAATACATCTTATTTGCAGAAATGTCTATTCATTATATACCCACTTCTCATTTGACATCATTATTAGGTCCCAAAGACCAGGTTGTTTGTTGTGCTAAAATTGGCATCAGGAGAAATACAGGATGAACACATAAGATTACAAAATGGAGGATGATGGCATCATTACAGACCTGCCAGATTACATCATTGCATAACTTTCAAACCACTGAGAATTGAACCTTAACCATCACAGCCAACGTTACTCTCACATCACACCTCAAAGTTTGTTATTGATAGTCATATGTCATTAGTATGAAAAGTAGTCAAGAAATTTTTTTTTTTTTTTTTTTTTACTATTGTCTTAAATGTGAAATGACAGACAACCAGATAGTAAGTGAGGAGTGTTGTCATTGTTGTGTGTTGTTGAGTTGTTTCTGACTCACAGTGTCCTTGTATAGGACTTATGAGCGCGGCTAGTACGTTTGAACTGCTGACCAGCATTTATCCTAGAGTTGGTTGGTTGTTTATGTGCCATGGTTCCAACCCATAGTGACCCTGTATAGGGTTTTCGAGGCTGTAAATCTTTACAGGAGCAGCAAGCCTCATCTTCCTCCCGTGGAACAGTTGGTAGTTTTGAACTGCTGACCTTGTGGTTCACAGCCTGATTCCTAACCACTATGTTACCAGAGTATATATCTGCCCTTTTATCTCTGGATATGAGTATCAGAGCACTTTGGCACTAACAAATTATCACTTTTTTCTTATTCTTATACCCTCTTTCTTAGGTCCCACCCAAGCCACCAAGACTCTTAATTTGTTCCTACCTCACAGTCTAGGTTTGAGGATAACTGTCCCTGCTGATTCTAGAATTTCTAGCATGATAATGAATACTGCTGTTCTCAGGGAAAGGACAAATAATTACCTTCATATAGACAATTATGCCCTTCCTCCTGCCAGTGGTATAATTAAGACATAAAAATTAAATGAAAATTTCTATTCTAAACCTTAAGCACCATCCGTGTACAACAGAAGGTTCTGAAAGTTTTCTTCCATTTATGTCATTAAGGTCAGCTCTTCTTTGAGGAGACAGCTGTTCTCCAGTCTTATTTTGTGTGCCTTCCAACCTGAGGGTCTCAGAGTTCAGCACTGTATCTGACAATGTTCTGCTGTTATTCACAGTGTTTTCAATATTTAACCATTCAGAAGGGGTCCACCTCTTCTTTTTCCTAGTTGGGTTTTGTTTGGAAGCTCCACTGAAACCTGTTCGCCATGGATGACCCTGCTGGTGTTTAAAATATCAGTTGCATATTCCAACAACACAGCCACATGCAAGCCACAGCAGTTCAACAAACTGATAGCTAAGTGGTAGAAGTTATCATTTGTTGCTTTTATTGTTAAGTGCCATCGAGTTTGTTCCGACCCACAGCGACCCTGTATAGGCTTTCTGAGGAGTGGCTGGTGAGCTTGAACCACCAACCTTGTGGTTCAAACCAACTTTGCAGTCCAGTGCATTAACCCATGGCGTGCCACACTGCTAAACTGGAAACCTTATGCGATGTCGCTATGAGTTGTAACCGACACACAACAACACTTAACAGCAACAACATGATACAGTTGGTGAATGGAAATATGCTTTATAAAGAAAAATGACTAAATATCATTTTAATCAATCTATAACAATAACTGAAATGTCCCACTAAATGAGTTTTGCCTGAAGAGAAAACCGTGATAAATATGTTTGTGTTGGAC